TCATACCCCTGCCTGCTTCTGGACCAACGATTTGCATAGTTGAGGTGTTCCTTTCTGTGACTCTGGGTGTTCTATCTTATTCCACCTTTTCTTGACACCAAGAAGGGGCTGGTGGCATCTGCAGGTGACATGCGTGACTGAGGATATAGCAAGTGTGCTCATTTGAGTGTATCCACATGCCTAGGTATACTCTTGGAGTATAGCTGAGGCCGGTCTGTGCACCCCTCCTGGCCCCTAAAGAATATGTTGGTTGAAGTCCATGGAGGCAGCTGGCCAGCGAGCTACACGCAGCTGCCCCCTTGCAGAATGAGCTTGTTTCGCGTGGGAGCCATGGAGTGTTGGCTATAGTGAGCAGGAATTCCTCCCTCACTTGCTAGGAGCCATAAATACATTCTTGTCTGTGGATGGGGATATATATATACACACATATACATCAGGGTTTTGGGCAATGCTGGGTTCTGGCTATGAGAGCCTGCCCTCCAGAGTTCTTCTTAAGAGACAGTCTTCTCAGACACATACATGCACGCGTGTGCAAGCAGACAGAAGTGAGAAAGAAAGGGAATTGCAAAGAAATACAGGGCCAGAGAGAGAGAGAGAGAGAGGAACCAAAGAAAGAAAGAAAGCCAAAATCACAGTTAAGGCTCGGGCTGAGAGGGTGGAGCTAAGGTGCTGTGAGAAGGGCAGCTTTTTGTCTATCCCAAGAGACATTAAGGAGCATGTGGAAAAGGAGGGGCCCATGCTGGCCGCTGTTGGTTACATGTTGTCAGAAACCTCTGGTCTCTGAGCTATTACAGCAGGAGATGGATGATGACCTGTGGTGAGCAGGTAAGAATTTGCTGCCGAGGCCCATCTGAGAAACCCACTTGGGTTCATGCCCAGTTAATCCAAACTTATCACCTCACCTGCCCTTTCACAGCCCTGCCTCCCTGTCAGAAACCTTGCAGAGTAGCCAGGACCGCTAGCAGGAGTGGTCTCTACCTCAGAGATGCAGCTTGTGTGAACAGCCTTAGAGACGAGAACTGTGCACCGCGTGTCCCCAGTGGCCTGACCCATAACCACCCAGCAGGACTCAGAGTGAACTGTGAGCTCTCTCCAAACCTGGCGCAGGCGAGCAGGGCCCAAACCACCTGCCCACCCAGGGCATCCGTCAAACATGGGCAGGGCTTGGTTTTAAGGTATTTGCATTCTGAGGGCAGAGTGGGAGACAGAGCCCAGAGCAAAGTATTGTTCTTCAGCTCCAGGACTTAGAAGACCATTGAATCGTCTTGGGTTGGGTCCAGGGAAGGTGGTGGTGAATGCTTTGTCCTGGTTCCTTTTCTGAAGGAAGTGGCAGGAGCCCCAGGCTCTGTAAAGTGGGTGCAGGGAGGAGCTTTTTTCTTTTCTCAGCCTGGGCCTGATGGTCCTGACACTGAGACGGGAGCTGTAGCCCTTGCTTCCACGGCAGCCAGGTTGAAGAGGCTGAAGCAAGAAAAGCCTCCAGGGGACATGGCCACAGCGTCCAGTGTGGACTGGGCAGGACGGGATAGGAGCCGAAGCAGCACCTGCCTGTCTTGTGTGAGCCAGTATCGTCCCTGTCCCTCCGCTGTTCCACAGACCACCAGCTGGGCCCATTGTCCCCAGCGAGAAAGCAGACACTGGAGGGGGTTCTGTGTGGGCAGGAGCTCACTAATGTCTACCCACTGGCAGGAGCTCGTAGAGAAGAGTGGCAATGGGCCCGGGACAAGAGGGAGGAAGGGAGGTGGCTGAGGCGAAGAGGCAGACAAGGAAAGGCCACCCTCTGCCTCTAGAGCAGAGAACTCGGCCCCCACCGCACTGCCTCAGGTCCCCTCCTGTGCTTTTGGCAGTGGGCAGTGTGCAAGGCCTGTGAACAGGAGATAAAGAGTTCAGGCTGAGTATTTTTTCTCACTAACCGTGGATTTGTGTGTTTGTTCAGCTGGTGGCTCTGATAAGCCCCATTCTGCCAGATAAAAGCCAAGCAGCTATGAGGCGGGGCCAGGGGACAGGCTGTTGCGAAGGGGCTTTCCTCCTCTCGGTCCTGAATCCCAGGTTATAACCTCCCCCAAGAGTCCCAGGAAGAAGACGGGTCAAGGTGCCTGGACCCTTTGTGGCATGCTGCCCTGGGCCCAGCTGCCGGTCCCTAGGGGTATTCAAAACAGGCACAGGCCTTGTTTCAAGGCATCCCAGAGAGCCGCCACATAGAAAGGCTGGCCTCTGGCTCCCATCTCTGGATGGCAAGATGTCCTTTGGCTGGCCCCAGAGCATGACCACTGAGGACCCAGTGACCTGTCTGATTCCCTGCCAACCCCCATCTCATGTCTACACAGGATGTACTCTGAGCTGACAGGGAATTAACTTCCCTTACTTCCGAGATACCCTTAGCCCTGTTGGGCAGGGGTCCATTCTCGCTGAACCATTAGGTCCTTGGGCCTAGACATGGTAGTCAGGGTGTCTGCTGCCTTTCAACAAAGCTGTGGTGTTGCCAGAGCGCCAGTGTTATCCTCCCTGCCCTTTCATGGCACAGGCAGGGATCATAAAAGCCGAGGTTAGAACAGATCTGCAAGACCCTGGCTGCAGCTGCCCTCGCCGTAGAGCTGGCTCCTCTGCCTGTGAGCCTAGGTCCAGGCTTCCAGTGTTTCTGCCTTTTGTCCTGGAGCTGAGCTGAGCTTGTTGGGGGCTGGTGGTGGCGGCATTGTGGCAATGCTGGCTAGGGCCGCCAGCCATAAGATGGCTGCCAAGGTCTAAAATGGCTGCCAGCAGCGCCCAGAGCCACGCCTGGTGGCGCGTGGCAGCCGGCCTCATCCTCCCCAGCCTCTCCTGCGTGCTCCTTTAATATGAACTAATAGTAATAACAGCAGCACCCTTCGGGGAAGTGTCCTGGTTTAAGAGGATTTCCTGTCTGTCGCACTCTCCTGGAGCCCCGTTTGTCTCTGCCTGAGTCACTGGCGCACCTCCATCTCTCTGTCACGTTCTCTGCTCTTTCTGTCCCTTGGCTGGTTATGTGCACACCCACGCGCACACTCATGGGCACGCAGCTCTCCCTCTCTCCTTGGCCTTTTGCAGTGGGTCTGTTGCACTCCTAGGGGGCGGACTCTGAGCCCCCTCAAACTGACCCAAGTCTGGAGGTCTTTTGGGCTGTGTGGGTCCCAGGATGGGTGGAATCCATGCAGTCTACGGAGCATGTGCCACACATCCTTTGATGGAGTCTGCCTGCCAGTCTTGAGGCCGCGCCCTTCTTTAACTGCACATTGAGGCAGCTTCACAGTGGGTTCCAGAAAGGCATAGCATAGGTCGCCTGCCACCTAGACCCCTTGGCTTCTGCTTGGACTTGAATCAAACCCAGAGATCCAGAGAGTGAGAAGAAAATCCATACTGTGGGATGCCAGGGTACAAAGAGATCTCAAGATGCAGTCGTGATTGGAGGAGAAGGCCCTAGGCCCCCTCCATAGCAGAGAATGCCGAACAAAGAGGTGATCCACCAAGACATGGAGGAGGAACACCTCAAACTAGAGAGGGAGGTTTGCGGACAGCTTCCTAGTAACCTCCACTCTCTTAATTCATAGCAAGGTGTACTATTACTTTTGGAATTAAAAAAAAATATTGAAGGACTGGGGCTATAACTCAGTGGTGGAGCTCTGGCCATGTGTGCATGAAGCCCTAAATTCAATCCCCAGCACTGCCAAGAGAGAAGAAAAAAAATTGAACGAGATGAAAGAAAAGGATAGCAGACCCCAAAATATGATAGCCTTCTACCCATCATACCATGAAGTAGCCAGGAGCCTGGCCATGCTCCCAGTCACAGATGCACAGGGCCCATCTTCGAGCAGGGCCCATCAAATCCTCCTGGGAGACAGCAGGATGCACATGGAGCTGTGGGTGGATTCGGGGTGGCTGGACCACTGTGAGGAGCCCAGCAAAGCTGTGGCCAGAACCAGGGCCCAATGTCAGATGCCACCTCTGTGGTCCTTATGAATAGCCGAGTCTTCACCAAGTGCCCTACAACCTACCCCAGCACCCCCACCCTCTCACCAGCTGTCATGCCCAGGCAGGCATTCTGGAGGTCCCCATCTTGCCCCTGGCACAGACAAAGCTTTGGAGGACCTGGGGGGCGAGAGTGGGGGGCTTTCTCAAGCTCTGCAAAATATTCACACACACACTCCACCCTGCCCCCAGCCCTCTGTGAGCTTCCTCCACACAATGGGCCCTTGTCTCAGGGCTCCCTCTGAGCAGCTGTGGCAATGGGGCATGAGACAACCCAGACAGGCTGGCACAAAATGGGTGGCAGCAGGGCACACCTCCCCCTCCGGGTTGCCAGGCATTGCTTTGTAAGCATAAAGGTGAGATGGAGGGGGCATGAGCCCACAGGAGCAGCATTCATTAATGAACTTAGGGATGGGAATACCCCTTGTGGGAGAGGGAGATCCCCAGGGGTCTGCCTTGTTAGGGACAATGCCTGTTACCGGCTTCTTCCCTTGGTGCCCTCCTGACTTCTGACTCTTGATCAGGGCTACCTGCCCATGGCATCTCTGACCCTCAGGGCTTACTAAACAGTTTCTGGGGGTAGTTTGGGTCGTCACAACAAAGGTGCTGTTGACATCTAATAGGTAGAGGCCAGAGATGCCACCGCACACCCTGCCCAGGATGCCCTTCCCCCTGCCTCACTGACCAATTCAGTCCAAATGTTGGGAGTAAAGTACACATTGTCTTCCCTCTCCCCTGTTTCCCTGGGCTAGTTCTGGAGCCTGGGTGAAAGGGTCTATTGCCTGGGATGGCTGTCCAAGGCTAGCCTTGAAACCTGGGTGAAGGGGTCTATTGCCTGGGATGGGTGTCCAAGGCTAGCCCTGGAGCCTGAATGAAGGGGTCTGTTGCCTGGGATGGGTGTCCAAGGCTAGCCCTGGAGCCTGAATGAAGGGGTCTGTTGCCCAAGGCTGGAGACTGGGTGCTAGGCTAGTGGTTGTATGAAACTTTGCTCCTGATTATTTCCCCGTCTTGTTTCTCTGCAGAATCCGGACAATCAGATAGTTCAAACCAGCAAGGAGATGCGGACATCAAACCACTGCCCAACGGTCAGTGCCCCGCCCCATTCTCCTTCCCCTTCACTCAGCTATCCAGTGACTTGGACTGTCATGCAAGGAGGGAGGCTTCCCCTGGTGTTTGCCCCTTTTGGGGGGACACCTGAGGGCTAGTGGGAAAACCCTTAAGGGATGGAGTCAAGCAGGGAAGAACTTGGGGAAAGTGGATCAGTGTTCCATCCTGCTCTGGCTTCACTCACCAGCCATTTTCTTTCTTCAGGGCACTTAAGTTTCCAGGACTGCTTTGTGACTTCTGGGGTCTGGAATGTGACAGAGCTGGTGAGAGTATCACAGAGTAAGTTGTGTCCTGTCAGGGTCAGGGACCAGGACTAGGGTACAGAGGGGATTTTCAGATTTCACAGGGTTATGTTGGTGACATCTTAGGAACTCTCTGCCCATTTGACCCTGAGATGGGAGAAGCAGTTGTCCATAGAATCATGTCTCTAACCTTTGCTGTGTGTGTGGGGGGGGGGCAGGGACAACCCACAACCAATGGCTCATCCCTTACAGCCTACCCAGGAAATGCCACAGGAAAAAGGGTCTTCCCAGCAGCATAGACATTACAGCGAGGTCTTGCTGGGCTTCTGGGAAATGGTTCATGGCAACCTAACTGGCCCGTTGGGCCTACAACACCATATTCCCATATTCCAGCCTGACCAATCTCTCTGTCTTCCCAGCTCCTGTTGCAACCGCATCAGGGCCCAACTTCTCACTGGCAGACCTGGAGAGTCCCAGTTACTACAACATAAACCAAGTGACCCTGGGACGGCGGTCCATCACCTCCCCTCCTTCCACCAGGTAAGCCAGGACAGTGGCCTTCTCACCTTCCTGACCACCTCCCTATGGCTCCAGCAGCTCTGCATCTGGGCTGGAGTGCTTCCATGTGTCACCATGCTCAGTCATCCATGGAGCACTTCTTCATGGGACACAGCTCACAACAAGGCATGGCTCTGCCTGGAAGTGAGGCTCAGAGAAGGCCTGTCTTGTAGAGATGGCATTTAAGCCCAGACAAAGCTGGTGGGAAGAGACTCCGGGCAACCTCCCTCTCAGTCAGACTGGGGCAAGTTGTCAGGATGATCCCCACCAAGGACTTTAGAGACTAGAAGTCTTTTGGACCCTTTTAGGGGAGTGGGAATCGCTCTTAATGCTGACCCATCTCTCGAGTGTTTGCTGCTTGTTTGTTTTTAATCTTGCATTAGAATATTTTCTACTATTTATTTATTTTTGGTTTTTTGAGACATGTTCACCGAGCTGGTCTGGAATTGACTGCAAACCTCCTGTGTGAGCCTTCCGATTACTAGGGTTACAGATGTAAGCTCCCACTGTTGGTCTACAATACTCTTGTGACTAAGGTTCATGGCACAACTGGGAGCTCATAGGAAATGGTGGCTGGGGCATAGAAGGCAGATGACGTTTTGCCTGTTCTCTTGTGGGCCCTCAGTGATCTAGTAACCTGAAGGAGAGCAGGTCTGGAGGTGTTCCACCCCAGGAATTGGAGTGCTTCTGTGGGCTGGCACTCCCCAGCATACAGTGCCTAAGCCTCGTCCCCGGAGGCTGCTTGGACTCTCTTTGGACTTTGGCCCACTTGGCTCTCTTCCTCCTCAGCACCACCAAACGCCCCAAGTCCATCGATGACAGCGAGATGGAGAGTCCGGTTGATGATGTGTTCTATCCTGGGACAGGCCGCTCCCCAGCAGCTGGCAGCAGCCAGTCTAGCGGATGGCCCAATGACGTGGATGCAGGTATGGCGGTGGTCGTCACAACGTAGCAGTCTGTGCTTCCGTAGGGTCTCTTTTGTCAGGTGGCACTTACAGACTCCCGGTCCTGAGGGTGGCAGGCCATGCCGAAGGAGAGGAGTGGAGTGAGGAGCCTTCCAAGTTGGTAGCTAGCTTATAGGCATGGTGGGCAGAGCAGATGGTTATCAAGTCTATAGTGTCATTTATTAAAGGCACAGCCTCTTTTTTATAGACCCCCTTGCCTCTAGAGACCTGCCCAGCCATGTGGTTCCCTGGATAAAGCCACTTTCCCACCTGGGCCCAGGGTTGTATTTGAGGCCTCTGGCTCTCTGAAGCAGGGCCTGCCCTGGTATCAGGTGCTCAGCAGCGTTCCCAACTCCACCACTAGATGCCAGCAGCCAACATCTACCCCTTCTTCAGTAGGTTGTTTCTGTTTCGAGACAGGGCCTAGCTGTGTGATAGCCAGGCTGGCCTCAAACTCTGGCCGCCCCGTCCCCACCTCCTGGGTGTTGGGATTACAGGCTGCATCACCGCATCCGGCCACCCTATTTGGACAACTATAAATGTCCCCAGACATTGCCAGATGCCCTCAAGAAGACAGATTTGAGGTGGCTAGCCCTGGCCTTGGGGCCCAGCTTTACAAAGACGCTCAGAATTGAGAATGAAAGGGCAGAGCTGTCTCGGGAAGCTAGCAAAGAGCAGAGATTCTGAAGGAAGCAGCCCAGACCTTCCCAGTCCTCACTGAGTTGGCTTCCTGTTGAGTCCAGCCATGGGCTGCTCCAATGCAGGTTGTTAGTGTGGGCAGCCTAGAAGCCCAGCGGGAATACTGTGTGCACACCAGAAACTATGGGTGTCCTTGAGGCCTTGGGACCTGCTTTTGCACAGTCTGCACAGAACTTGCCTGCTCTAAGTGGCTGGGGACACTCTGGATAGGGCTAAGGACTGGGTTTCATTGTTTGAACCAGGGTCTGATCTGATGGCAACTTGTCTGGCAGAGAGAGACCCGGCTGAGGGAGCCAGGGCAGACCCTGGCATTGACTCTGGTTCCCATGCAAAGACACCAAAGCTTACCTCCCGGGCCTGGGCTGAGGGAATGGACTTGGCCCTTTCTAGAGCAATGGAGGAGACTGTGCTTCGTGGAAAGGCACCCCAGCAAGACCTGGAGGTCCCCGCTTCCCCATGACAGCCAGGGCCTGAGTCAGTGTGACTCACACACACTCCTAGGGAATTCTCTGGAGGTTCCCCGCTGATAAAGAGGGAGTTGGAAACTGGAGACTGCCATACTGCCATAGCCCAGACCCCAGCTAGGCCTGGCCTTGGGTAGGTGACATCTGCAGGGACTGTCCGCGTCCCCAGGACCCTCCTCGTCCCCAGGACCCTCCTCGCCAGGCTTCTGCAGCCTTTGCTCTCTGTCCGCTCTACTGCCTGCCATTTCTGTTGCTTCCCGCAGTCCTGTCATGCACTGCGCCCCCAGGACCCCTTACCCCCCAACTTGTCGTCGCTTCCCTGGGCTGCGACAAATCGCCAATTAAGCAGCCCAGCTGCAGGATGGGAACAGCTGGGTAGGCGCTGTGCAGCAGCAGGGACAGCTGTGCACAGCTGGTGGGGCACTCCCCCCTCTTCACCATGCCAGCTATCAGGTGGCACACAGCTGCTGCCAGATAACACCTCTGCTGGTCGCTGGGAGCCTCCCCCGTCCCCCGCCCCCCGCCACCGTGGTTGAAACTCTGGTTTTCTGCTCTGCAGCTCCTCATTCCCATCACAACCTACGAGATTTTTCCCTCAAAGATAGCAGCTCAACATCTGCCTCACCTCCACCTTGCCTGGTCAGCCTGGACATGGCCTCAAAGCTCAGCCCAGGACAGAGAGATGCCAAAAGAATGTGCCCCTGGAACCCTGCTTGCCAACCTGTTACTTGGATGCTATACATACTGGACAGGGATGGCACTGGCTTGCAATCTCTGACTCTTTAGAGGCAGAGCCCAAACAGGGTCTTTTTTTTGTGTGTGTGCCTCTGTCTCTGGCTGGATGCCACCTTTGCCTTTGGCACCAGGGCAGAGAAGAACCCCACTCTCTGAACATGGGCAGTTCTTGCCCTCTGACTCGTCCCCAGGGTCCTCCCAGCTCTCTGGCTCCTGTCTTTGTTCCCATGTTGGATGTTGCCCCCTCTGGAGCCTCTAACTCTGCTTTCCCTTTCCCTTCTCTTCCTCTTCAGGCTAGAGTATACTAGGACTCGGGTCACCTTGTTCCAGGTCCCAGCCTGTCCCTCCCACCCTTGTCCCTCTGGCCCCTTTCATTGTCTGCCACCCCTGGCTCACCACCTAGCTCCTGTGGGCTCCTCATGCATCCCTTGCTAGATGCTGGCCTTGCACCCCCTATACTCATGTACCAGCTGCCAGGGCACAGGATGCCTTCCTTGCCACACTTGCCCAGCATACTCCCCCGTGTTACCAGGGGCCTCGTTTTCCTGTTTCAGAAGCAACCATAGCCAGATTGCACCCCTGAGGTCAGGCCACAGAAGGAGCAGAGCAGGGCCCGAGGTGGAGGAAGGGCTGCTGGGCGCTGGGGAGAGAAGGAGCGGGCTGCTTTGCTGGCTTCCCACCCCAGCCAGCTAAACCTGCGTGTCGCTGCTTCCTCCCCGTAGGCCCTGCTTCTCTAAAGAAGTCAGGAAAGCTGGACTTCTGCAGTGCCCTCTCCTCTCAGGGCAGTTCCCCACGCATGGCTTTCACCCACCACCCGCTGCCTGTGCTTGCTGGAGTCAGACCAGGTGAGAGATGGAGGCGGGGCTTCAGGGGACACTGCGGGAGGCAGCCACAGCAAGGGGCAGCTGGCCAGGTACAGTAGTGGCCAGGGCTCACTCTAAGTGACAGATCTGGGCTCTCTGAGCGGAGTCATGGCACAGCAGTGGGGTGGCCTGGGACCGGCCACAGCCACGTACCTCTGAGAACCAGGTTTTGCCTGCTCGGTTGGTTCCTAGATTTCCTCGCCACGCTAACTCTGGCTGTGTAAGTCTGTGTCGGGTGCATGTTCTGCACATGCTCACTGGGAGCTGCATGCAGCCTCCACCTCCCCTACCAGCAAGTAGTTGAGCAAATTGCTCCTCTGTGGCTCGGGAAGAGCATGCTCAGCAGTCCAGGCTCCTGGTGTCTGTCCTAGGGCAAACTGGCACCTACTCTGGGCTTCCCTGCCTTTCCCAGAAGCAAAGGAATGGGCCATGGAAAGGACTGTCTTGCTGCTTTGAGGGTCCATCTCGTCAGGCCCTGAGAAGATACTGAGTCTTCACAAGGGTGAGGCCAGGCGGCACTCCTCCGAGAACCTGGCTGTCCCCTGCTTGCTACTCTGCTCCCTCAGCACCCATCTGGTAGCAAAGGCCTGGCTTTTGTTTGCACACAGCCTCAGTCCGCCATTCCTCTCTTTTCTCCTGTAGGACACAACAGGGAGGTTTACCTCCCAGCTTCCTCCTTGGGGCCTCCTGGCTTAGAGCCCAGAGGCAGCCAGCACTGGGGCAGGGTGTGGTGGCCACGAGGTGGGGGCAGGGAGCCCAGGCCTTGTGCCGGCAGCAGGAGGGAGGCAGGCTCCACTCCATTTTTATGAACTCCAGCGAGAAGCCAAGTTTCCTCAGCCCCCTAATGAAACCGAGAGCAAGACTAAGCTGATTGGAAACAGACGGGAGGGGGAGACCGCGGGGAAGCGAGGAGGCCTGCGCAGGGGTGGGAACTGTGAGCGCACAGCACAGCGTTGGGGCCAACACGTGCAGGAGGCCTGCGGATCCCACTTACCCTTGTGGAGTTGTCTATGTGCTAGGTGCCCAGCCTGCACAGGCAGGGCCTGTCCGTGTGGAGTCTCCGGAGCCATGGTGTCCTGCTCTCTGCCCTTCAGGCGGGCTCACATCTAGGGCAGGGCAAATGAGCTGTTTGCTAAGGGTGCAAGAAGAAAAATGTCAAGGATGCCAAAAACTCAGTCCTCAAGATAAGTAATATATTAATGTATTATTCCTAAAAAACGGAAGCAGTTGCAAAACATAGGATAAGGCCAACACCTGAAATCCCAGCACACAGGAGGCTGAGGCAGGAGAATTAAGGATTGGAGGCTGTGTGACTCTGTCTAAAAAACAAGTAAGAGCAAAGCACATGACCAGCAAATATGGCAGAGAGAGCTTGACTAACGGGGACCCCTGGGTTCCGTGCTCAGGACTGAAACAAAAGAAAGTCAACCAGCCAAAACAAGCAAGAGTAAAAGGCAGCCAGACACAGGCCTTCAGTCCAGGCTGGGTCAGAAGCTCAAGGTCATCAAGTGGGGGGGGGGCTACAAGAAATCCCACCTCAACAAACAAACAAACCAGAGAAACAACTTCCAGGCAGTTTTAAGCAGATAACACCCAACCCTGCACTTGTAGCACGCTATCCACCTGCCTCAACTACCACCACCCCAGCTCCAGTCAGACGTTATTTATAGAAGCAAGCAGCTGGCCCTCCCTCAGGTAGTAGTCTGCCAGGGTTTTTTTTTTTTTTATTATTGCATTTAAGTGTTTCTTTTTTATTTAGATGACTGAGTGTTTTGTGCCGGACACAGTGCTTCTGCCCCATTCTGCCTCGGGCTCCCGTCCGCCACCACATCTTTCTTTCCCACGTGGCTACCTTACAACCTCTCCTCTCTCCTGCCTTTACGCACACAGGGAGCCCCCGGGCCACAGCGTCAGCCCTGCACTTCCCCTCCACGTCCATCATCCAGCAGTCAAGCCCGTATTTTACACACCCAACCATCCGCTACCACCACCACCATGGGCAGGACTCGCTGAAGGAGTTTGTGCAGTTTGTGTGCTCTGACGGCTCGGGTCAGGCCACTGGACAGGTGAGTCCAGAGGGCACAGGAGGCCTCATAGCGTCATATGTCTGTCCGTCCGTCCGTCCGTCCGTCTGTCCGTCTGTCCGTTGGATTGTCTTTCTATCTGTCTGTCTAAGGGCTCACGAGGAGAGGGACAAAAGTCAGGAGCATACATGGAGCGGGAGTAGCAAAGAGCCCATAGACTCTACCTTGTGAGCAATTTTAGTGGGCTTGGGGCCTGGGTCTGAGTATTGTCCTAGGGTCTGTCTAATAGGGACTGGAGAGGTGGGCAGCCGCCCAACCCTCCCTTCAGGGGCTCCTCGCCCTTTCTATTGACCCTTGGTTCCCAGCAGAAATGAGCCTATAATTGGTCCAATCTAGGCCTTGGACCCCTACCTTTCTAAAATCTACAGGGTCAAGGATTTGACAGATTGTGGACCTGAGTTTGTCTGGCTCATTCCTGTTGATGTTTGGGCTGTTTCTTCTCTGTGGCGTGAGACTGCCTCGGACTCTGGGAACTATCCCTGCCTGGCCCCCACCTGATACCAGGACTGCTTTCTCCTTCCTAGTCATGGGCGTCAAATCTATCTCCCACTTTCAGTGGGCCCCACGTGAGGCCTGTGTGAAGATCCTGTGCCAGGACTCTTGCCTAAGGGCTCCCGCACTGCTGTGATTCTAGAGCAAAGCCCTTCCGATCCACGGCGCTGTGGAGCAGAGGGCCCTGTGGGTTGTGGGTTCCTTTTCCATTAGCCAGCCCCAGGGCCTGGTCCAAACTCAGGGTGCTCAGCAAAGGAATTACCCAAGATGATAACATGCCAGAGATGCTGGCAGGACATGCTCAGTCTCTAGGAGTCATGAGATGGGATCTGGTGAACCAGACCTCTGGAGAGTCCTGCGGCCAGCAGCATGAAGACTCCCAACCTCTCTCCTATCCTGGCTGTGAGAAGTCAGCAGGAGGGTGTTCAGAGAGCTTAGAAATCAGGCTGGGAGAAGTGTTCTGGAAATCCACGCCAGAAGCAGCCTGAGGGGAGCAGCAGCAGCCCTCACTCTGGGAAGAACGGGTGTTTGCCGGTTCTGGAGTGTGACTGGGCTGGACTCTCTGTCCATCCTGGATCTGGTCCTGTTTGCTCTGGCTTGCTCCCCCATTCCCACCCTTCTGCTGTCCTCATCCTCCTCCCTACTTTATCCCACAAGGGCTTCTCTTGCCGATTCTCCAGCTCCTTAGCACATTGGTGGCCTTCCTGGTTAAACACTGCATATCTTAGGGGGACGGAAGGGTAGAACTGACCCCTGTTTACCACTTCAGAGGTAGAACAGACTTCAGAGGGATGCTGACCAGCTTTCCTTTTCACCTCAGAGGCAGCCAGGCTTGGAGTATGGATGAGTAGGACCTAGGGACCAATGCAAAGAGCCATCTCTCACCCCAGGCAACTGAAGGGTCAGTTGGCCCTTGTCTCCTGAGGGCTGGTTCTGAGCTTCATCTGTGACCTAACGTGTGTAACATAGAACATTCATTTTGCTTAGAGTTATTTTCTCAAGACAGGTACTTATTCCATGAGACTGCAGACAGAGATGTAAGTAGACACCTTGCTGAGAGTAACTAACAGCAGGGAGTAGGGAAGCCTCTCAGGGCTTCCTCTGTGACCTGCAGCAGGGGCCCCTGGGGCTGCAGAGGAGAGATGCACTCATGCTGGAGAAGAGGCTGCTTTATTGGAGAACACAGGCTGTGCTGTGCTCCTCCTGGCCGTCACAGAAGCGCATCCTCAGATTAGTATGTGCAGTCACCCAGAGGTGGAGCCTGAGACCCCAAGTGTCTCCCAGGTTCCTGCTCCTAGACTTCTGGCTGGAACACCCCACTTTAGGAACAATCGACCTGGAGCCTAAAGGAGCACCCTCCTGAGCACCTTATGAATCCCAGGTTACAGACCAGCTTTTCAGCCATGTAGGGAGAATTACAGACAATTACCGAGGGCTCCCAGGCACCCTAATATTTTACCCGTTCACCCTAGTCTAGGGCACTTGTTTTGAAGGTCACAGGGAGACAGTACTTAAAGTGATACCCCTCAGTAGGAGGAATGGTGCTGGCTAGCAGCATTTGCGGGGTGGCGAAGGTGCTGGTCCAGTGGGGTAATGACTCAGGGAGGCAGGAATGGCACCATCTGTAAGGGGCAAGTGATGTGCTGGGCCAGCGTGTACACTCCTGTCTGTCCCTGCCTCAGCTCCTAAGATAATGCAGAGCCACAGACTTCTATGTTTTAACACCTTGACTTGTATCCCAGCCTAATGAAAGTTGTGACTAGCCACATTCAGGTGGGGCAGTCCTTTTAGACGCTTGCAGGAGACAACCCCTGGAGGAGGCAGAGGCCTCCATGCTGTGTCCTAGCTGCTCAGAGCCCAGAGAGAAACTATGAGGCTGTGATCTATGGGACTGTTCTGTTTCCTGTCCGAGGGAAAAACGGGATGGGAGCCAGACGGGCCATGGATATGAGGGGAGAGGCTACTGCTTGGCTCTCAGTGGCACACCCACAGAGCCGGAAAACTTACTCTTTGGTCCTAACGCTACCTAAAACCACATAATTGCTCTCTAAAAGGGTACCTAGCACAAAAGGTTCCAGTCCGGGCACAGATAGGAGTGCTGGACAGCCACAGGTTGTTTGGCCAGATGCTGTTCAGCTGTCCGCCTCGGGGTGTGCAGGAATGATAGAAGGAACCGTGCAGAGGAACGGTGTGTCAGATCTGGCAGGTCATTAGGGATAAAAAGCTGGTGAGGAGGAAAACCAGAGCTCTGGGCCAGGTGGGACTGGCGTGGAGCGGGAGCTGCACATGGCAGTGCATGCCTGGAACCCCGGCATTTGGGAGGTGGAGGCAGGAGGATCAGATGTCCAGCCATCATGGAGAGTTGAGTACTTGCCACAGTCTGATGACCTAGGTTTGATCCCAGGAACCCACATAAAGATGGACGGAGACTGAACTGCAGCAGAAGGACGGTGCAGCCCGCGTGGGTTGTCGGACTTGAGTGCTGCCTGAGTCTGCTGGCGTGCTGGAGCCTGGGACAGCTGCTTCCATGCCTGACAAAAGGCCCAGGGCGTCCAAGAAGTATAAGACAGCAAGAGACTAGGGTGATTCAAAGAATCTGGCTGGTCCCCTTGTGGGGGTGCAGTGCTTTTAGACCAGGCCTTGAGGGGTGCAGGAAGGAGCTTCAGGCAGGGCACTTTGCGGTGAGCAAGTCTGCACTCTGACCTCGCCCTCAGCCTGAGTTCTGAACACCCAAGGAGCTCAGTATGGAAAATACCTAGCAGAAAAGATGGGGTGTGGGGATGGAGACCTTGAGTGCCTCTTGGGGAAAGTGCACCTCCTATTTTTGAGAAATCTGAGCTACCTTGCACTTGGGGAAGAGGGCCTATAGGCCTCTCAAAGGTTCTGGGGTCAGACAGGTCGGGCTCTGCCTCCAGGCATGGCCAGTGTAGTAGGTAACTGTAGATGAACCACTTCCTTGCACAGAACCTCACTGTACTCAGCTGTTGAATGGGTAGAACAAAGCTTCCTTTGCATCCAAGTTTCCCAGAGGCAGTACTGTTAGTGCTGAGCGGAGGATGAGAGGCTTCGTCTTGTGTGCTGTAGGGTATGGATTTGTAGCTACCCACTTGACGCCAGTAGCATCTTCTCTGCCTCAAAATTGCCTCTGGATGTTGCAGTGTCTTCTGGGATGGGGAGCAGAATGGCCCTGAGGGGAGAACTGTTCCTGGAGAGTAGTTGGAAGGTCAGGCCCAGCATGGATACAATGTCTCGGCTATGGCTGGACACCCAGATCCCTGAGCTGAGCTCACTCACTGTCAGAGCAGAGAGGTGACCCCATGCCCTGACCCCTGCGGTCTCCTTGTCATTGACTAAGTGAGATGAGTGAGGACAGATTGATTGACGGCTGACTGGAGACATCAGGTGGTATTCCGGGGCTTATCCTCCCATAGTCGGAGAAGCACTGGCCAGGTGAGTGAAGCATGCTTATAATTCCAGCTCTCGGGATGTCAAGGCAGGAGGATTGCCAGTTTGAGGGCAGCGTGAGAGAGAAAGACCTCCCTAGGACTTGTGCCTAGTTGGCCAGAAGGGCCGAAGTTTGCTGCGTAGGAGAAGAAGAGCTGGGGCCAGGCCTCCCTGCACCTGAGCTGCAGGCAGGCATTGAGGGCTTCCTCCCAAGCAGCAGGAGGCATGTTCCAGGTCTCTCCAGGGATATTGCGCCTGCCAGTGGCTGGGGAGCCTGTGGTGCCTACTTTCTCTGAATCCTTGAAGCTGACCCAGGCACGATCAGGCATGAGGCCTGGAGGAGAAATGCAAGTTGAGGCACAAAAGACGAGGAATGAATCTTGGTGGCAGAATGTCCTTGGCTCCTGAGCGTTATCCAGGGACTCACTCTTGAAGAACCACACAGAAGCTGGAGCCACCAATGGCGTATTTTCCTCACTGGCTGATCTTTATAGAAAAGGCCAGCAGGCTGAGAACAGGATCTGCTGGAGATAGAATGGAGGGTGAGCGACTCAGTGCTGGTGGCCTCCTGGGCCAGGCTGCCCATGGGGTGGATGTTGGCAAGCCTGTGGGTCTCGGCTAGTCTGCCAACCCCAGCCAGGCCCATGGAGGGAGTGTACCTTTGGGACCTTGGAGGTGAGCTGGCTTCTCTTTCCCACCATGAGGACAGGTCTTCCAGGAGCATGACTGCCCTAGGCACGGTGGTGCGCATTGCTAGGTGGTTCATTTCTGTACCTAGAACATCTTGCGTAAGAATTGACAAATTAGCTGGGTGTGGTGGTTCACGCCTTTAAACCGAGCTCTTGGGAGGCAGAGGCAGGTGGATCTCTGTGCTTGTGAGGCCAGTCTGGTCTACATGGTGAGTCTGAAGCCAGCCAGAGCTACACATTAAGACCCCGTCTCAAAAAGAAATAAAGGAAGGAAGGATGAACCACCCGTCGGACATCCCCCTTCTTCCTTCCCACTACTTCATAAAGAGAAAGGAAAAAAAGAAAGAGACAGAAACGCCCAAGAGACCAAATAGAGGCCTGACACCTCTTCCATCCTGTGCCTAGAGGAAAGGACCCTCCCTCCCACTCCTGCATCTTCCATCGGGAGCGCCCGCTCTCAGGAGCAAGTGGCCGGCCGCGCAGGGGAGCGTGTGTCTGTGTGTGATGTGCCTTCATGCGTCACTCTATTTATGTTGTTCGCAGCCCAACGGTAGCGGCCAGGGCAAAGTCCCGGGGTCATTTTTGCTACCGCCGCCGCCTCCAGTGGCCAGACCTGTGCCCCTTCCTATGCCTGATTCCAAAACCACCAGCACGGCCCCAGACGGCGCCGCCTTGACTCCTCCATCACCTTGTAAGTGGACGATGAAACCGAAACCACAGCGCCCAGCATCCCTGGCCCATCTACACAGTCTCCACTGCAAAAAGAGGAGCACCCCCTCCCGACAAAGCCCCTACCCAGAGCGCCTCAGAGCCTCCCACAGGATGAGCAGGGTTGAACCCTGGCCATGGCCTCCTGGGCCTCAGTTACACCAGCCAGCACCCCATGAGCCCTGCCCACTGCTCCCAGCCAGGCCCTGGCCCAGGCCCCCCTGGGGGGCGGGAGGGAGAGTGCAGTGGGGCACTGGGCCGGGGGTGCTGGTGCGGGTGGGGGGGCGGGAGGCACAGTCATGCCATCTTCATGCCTGATTGCTGCTTTTGTTTTTGTTTTTTGTTGGTTTTTTTTGATTTTTTTGGTTTTGTTTTTTAATTTTTTTGTTGTTGCTGTTTCGTTGTTCCCTTACACACACCAAAAAAAGAAGTTTAAATGTAACCACAAGGTGATGCCACCACCATCCTCTTTTTGCCTTGTCCCCTCACCTCCATCTGGCCCTTGGGCCTCTGAAGATGCAGGAGACGCTTTTCCAATCCCTTCTTCCCTCAGTTTCCCATTTGATTTCTTGTTATTCCTTTTTTTCTTTTCCTTTTATACCCTCTTCCCATCCTCCTATTCCTTCCCTTCTTTCCCCTCAATTCCTTTCCCAGGTTGTAAGTTCCAAAGAGAAGGGAGGGCACTGGGCCCCAGCTTACTTCATCTTTCTTTTTCTTCCTTCCTCCCTCCCTCCCTCTCTCCCTCCCTTCCTTTTTTCCTTTAATCCAATGACAAATGGTGCCAAAGGGAAGAGAAGAAATATCTAAGTGGAGAGGTCCCAGCTAGACCCGACGTGAAGGACAGGAGAGGCGGAAGGCGGGCGGCGCGCTGTCTTGGGCTGGCACAGGGGTGGGCAGGCATCTGAGCTGGAACTGTGCAGCAGTGGGTGGCAGGGTGGCCCATGTCAACACTCCTGTCTGTTCGCGCTCTCTGTCTCTCCTCCTCTCCCCCTCCCTGCCCTCTCCCTGTCATCTCCTCATTTGCATATGCCATTAGACATGACCACAGTCACTGGAGGTGGGCAGAGTGGGGGTGGGAGCCAGGTGGGAGCTCACTTCTGGAGAAGGGACAGAATCTGGCGAGCATGTCCCGGATGTGTCTGGCATAGAGCAGGAGTGAGTGTCCCAGGTGAACTGTGAAACTCTATTTTCCCGACTGTCAGGTTCAGCTGAATACCCCAGAAGAGCTCAGGGCTGTTGGGTTCATTTGTCCCCTGGGGCACTGGACAGCTGCCCCCAGGTGGCTGAGCTTTGGGGCTCTTTCTATGGCCTCTTTCTCTGTCACCTGGCCTGATGCACTGATGGGCAGAGAGTAGCATGGATGCAACCTTTGTGCCACAGCGCACACCAGGCAGCCAGGCCACAGGGTCTTTTGTGACCACTCCTGCTGTCGTGGTCTCCATGGGACCCCTGTGAGTTCCTGAGCCACTTGCCAACCGGTGGGACTGCCCAAGGTGGTAAGTGGCGAGCCCCCAGTGAGACTGTGGGGCTTGAGAGGTGACCTGGATGAGCAGGCCATGCCCAGACAGTCTGGTCAAGGCTTCCCAGCTCCCACCTCCGCACTTCCCCTCTAAAAGTAGAAAAACTAGGGTCTCCGCTGGTGAACCCAGTGCTAACCGTTGTCTCAGTAGGGGGCAGAACTAGGCCCAAGGGACTTCAGCTGCAGCCTCAACGGCCCTTTCTCACCCCAGCCTTGACAGGCTGAGGCAGGAGGGTATGTGTGCGCTCCTGGTCAGAGAGCGGAAGGGCTTGCAGCCTGGCCTCCCACACTGTAGCCCTCACTCATCCTCCCCGCCGCCACCTTACCCTGCAGCACATCTAACCTAGTCTCTCCCTTCCTCCGCCGCCCAGAGGGGCAGTGCCCAGGGGGGCCTCATAGCCTGACCTGGACTTCCCCTCTCTCCTCACCCCCTGCTCCCTACAGCATTCGCAACGACAGGCGCCTCCTCTGCCAACCGGTTTGTCAGCATCGGACCCCGGGACGGCAACTTTCTGAACATCCCACAGCAGTCTCAGGTAGGAGATGCCCTGATGCAGGAGAGGGCAGACAGGGGCACATCTCGGTATGAAGAAAGAAGCCAGGGTTCTGGGGAGGGCTGCTCCGTATGAGTTGCATGCCCAGGCTACTGCCCAGCTGAGCAGCCTCCCTAGGCAGCCTCAGGCTCCCTAGCTAATCAGCTAATTGGATAATTAGCTCTGACAACCCTGGACCTGGGAAAGGCAACCCAAGGCTAGAGACCTCTGGGGCATCCAGGAAAAGCAAAGAGGGAAGACTGACTGAAGCACTGGCTAGGAAGGCAACCCTAGCTCCTGGATCTCCTACCCTGGTCAGCTCAAGGAAGCCTTAGCCTTCCCTGTCTCCCTGGCACTGGGTGGGCTGGATGAAGGTGGGAGAGGGACAAAGTACGGCTGGTGGGCTGCATGCCCAGAGACTGGCATCAAGGGCAGGGTTGGCTGCCGTCCTGGAGGCCCCTCCCCTAAGTCCTCAGAAGTCCCATTAGGAGGAAAGTCAGGCTGCTGGAGCCCCCAGGCCCCAGTGACACCACCCCCACTTCCCAAAAGGAGACAAGCCAAACTTGTCCTCCAGCGTGAGGCCCCAGACTGCCTGGAGAATGCATGTGCACACATGGATGTCTCTCATGTGCCTGTGTCTAGAAAGGGTGAGAATAGCAGGCAGAACCCAGGGCCCTTGGAACACAGGGACGGGCCACCTCAGGGACAGGCCAGGGGCAACGTCACAGGTCAGGGCTTTCAGAAAAAGCACACAGATATTCTTCTTTTTGTCCATTTTATAAAAACACTTCCTTGCCGGCTTCCTCAGCCCTGGGAAATCCACCCCTGCTCAGAGCCTCAGGGCCACCTCTGTTGGCTCCTGCCCCGCCTCTGCTGAGGCCCCAGTCCAGAGAAAGTTGGTAGATGGAAGTTTTGTGTGTGGTTTAAGGGTCTTTTCTTTCTTTCTTTTCCTTTAACGCACACACACACACACACACACACACACACACACACACACACACACACACA